TCCCTTGTGTCCTCATCTGTAAAATGTGGATAATAATACAAGGTTGTTTTGAGGATACAATATAAGAATTTATGTAGATCTCCTAGTACAATGCCTGGACCATTGTAGCTCTCAATAATGGCAGCCATTATTGATTTTACACAAAAGTATGAAAGCAGGCAAATTTATCACATATATAGTAAGTATATACGGTTTGAAAAGAGAATTCAAGGCAGTTAAAAATGTACAAATCAGTTAACAGTAAGCTCTTGGAACTTGGTGAGTTTGAATTTGACACCAACTAAATACTTCCAAATAGGGGAATGAGATAAACCAATACTGAAAGAAGGAGACTCTGATGATTAAGAGGAAAGTAAGGCAAGTGTCAGGATAGAACAGTTAGGTGACTATCACAGACTGTGCAGAAAGTGAAAGCCCATGTGTCAGAGTTGTGGTTAAGAGGTAAAAGGATAAAATAAAACCAGTCATAGGAAACAGAAGACTATCATACCAATACTGGTGACTCACTCATAGAAAGTTTCATTATTTCCCATAGACTTCCTGTATCAATGTTAATAATTAGGTATATTTTTGATCAAGATAAATAACATTATTAGGAGGAACCAAAAAACACAGATAATTTCAAAGTACTTTGAAAGCTGTCTCATAATTTAAAAAAGTCTGTATTCTAAGGCTATTTATATCTACCAGTTGATTTTTGCAATTGGTTAGTAACCTTTATATATATCTAGACAAATGATTTGCATTTATATAGTTTTTTAAAAGCTCCAGAACAGATGCTAATATATATAGATTTTTTTTTTAATTTTCAAAGCATTTAAAATCTATTACTGGATTTAAGACTTGGGATTTTTTCTGTCTGCAAATTCTAGCTATAATAGGGGCTATCTTGATTTTTAAAAGCTCTGTAAATTTTCATTTTGTTGACTTACACCTACATTTAAGTACCTTGTATAGAGAAACAGAAGGCACAGCTCCTTTTTTCAGCTTTCTTCTTATGCCATATGACTCAAAGTCACTTTCTTGAAAATGTTTGGAACACAGTATAGCACCTGGTCCTGGAATCCAAATCTTTTTGCTTCTGGGGTCCACACGATTAACAGCCCTGATCCATTTTGAGCGCTGTATGGTATCAGTTGGAAATCTATGGCAATCAGATTAAAGTTCCATTAACATGAAAACATTATAGTAATACTGCAGTAGTATTAATTATATATACCCATTTATTATTTTACTGCTTTATAGAAACATAAAGCCAAGTGAATTAAAAGTTTACTTAGTTCGTTTTTCAAAGTTCTTTGATTTTTTTAATCCACAAGTTCAATATCTGATTGTCTGTGTCAATCATAGAGGGGCAATTCTCATATTAAAAATCCTACTGTATTTTGTCTTCACTTCCTACACTTAACAGAATCTGCTCAAATTTAGATGGTTAAAGAATATATGACTCTTTTCCTTTCCTGTGGTGATTTTAAACTATTTGGTACTCCTTTTAAGAAGTGGAGCCTGGCCGGGCGCAGTGGCTCACGCCTGTAATCCCAGCACTTTGGGAGGCTGAGGCGGAAGGATCAGAGGTCAGGAGTTCAAGACCAGCCTGGACAACATGGTGAAACTCCGTCTCTACTAAACATACAAAAAATTAGCCGGGTGTGGTGGCGGGTGCCTGTAATCTCAGCTACTGGGAAGGCTGAGGCAGGAGAATCTTGAATCCAGAGGTGGAGGTTGCAGTGAGCTGAGATCGCACCATTGCACCCCAATATGGGCAACAAAAGTGAAACTCCGTCACAAAAAAAAGGTGGAGCCTAATTCCCCTCCCCATGAGTGAGTATGGGCTAGAGTTAGTGATTTGCTAAGGAATGGAAAAAGAACATGTGACAGTAAGTGACCACAGACTATGTCATAAAGGAACAAGTTTTCCTCCTTGCTCCCTGTAGAGAATGGTTTGCTCTGGGGTAAGGTACTGGCATGTTATAAGCAGTCCTGTGGAGAAAACTAGTTGGTGAGCAACTGAGGCCTCCAGTCAAAGGCCATGTTGAGTTAGTCTTTTTGAAAGCAGGTGACTTCAGCCTTCAGATGACTGCAATCTTATGAGATACCATAACATCCAGCTACACTCCTGAATTCCTGACCCTTAGAAATGTGTGAGGTAATGTTTATAGTGAATTTTGAGGTAACTTGTTATGCAGCAGTAGAAAACAAGACAAGTATATTTACTATATTCAACTTTTTCATGTTTAAAGGCACTACTTTTTGCTAGCCCTGATTATAAAAATTACCTTGCATTTATTTATTTTTCAATCCAAGCCAAATTATGTTTAGAAACTTGTCGGCTAGGCGTGGTGGCTCACGCCTGTAATCCCAACACTTTGGGAGGCTGAGGCGGGCGGATCACTTGAGGTCAGGAGTTCAAGACCAGCCTGGCCAACATGGTGAAACCCTGTCTCTAATAAAAACACAAAAATTAGCTGGGCATGGTGGCTCGCACCTGTAATCCCAGCTACTAGGGAGGCTGAGGCAGGAGAATCGCTTGAATCTGGGAGGCAAAGGTTGCGGTGAGCCAAGATCGCGCCACTACACTCTAGCCTGGGCGACAGCAAGACTCCATCTCAAAAAAAAAAAAAAAAAAACAAGAAACTTGTGAAATTAACACAATAAAAACCACAAAACTACTCTTTCTGCCCCCTCTTCTTTGACTTATTTTAGAGACAGATTTATACATAACTATGCTTTTTGTGCATTTTAATTTAGACTTTAAGGCACATAGTTACCAGAACTGAGATTGGTATAAATTTTATTTCTCAGTTAATTGCTACAAAAATATAGCAGTATGGTAAAACATAATTCTGAGATACTCTCTCAATCACCTTGAGAAAGAACACTGACTTGGAAAACCTGTTTTTAAGCTTTATAGCTTTAAAAGATCAGAACACTGACCTTTTACCAGCTATATGGTATTAGACACATCTCTCAATCTTAGAAAGATCAGAACACTGACCTTTTACCAGCTATATGGTATTAGACACATCTCTCAATCTTAGAACTTCCTCATGGGGCTGTAGTAAGAGTGTATGAGGCTACAAATGTATTCAAAATCACTTTGTAAACTCTAAAGTACTATCCAAAGTTTGCGCTTTCCTAGGAACAACTAATTCCATTTCTGGGATTAAAATTTTATTGTTCCAGGAAGATGATGACACTTGATCAAGGGAAAATGAACAGGGAATTCTTTTTCCAATAAGGTTGGAGCAAATCTATCTTTTTTCACTGAGTTATTTTTTAACTCATGGAACATATTTGCAAGGGAGCTTTTCCACAGATTTGGTATAGTCTCTAAATGTGCAAGCAACCCTCAAGAGTTGGCTGGTCCAACAACTTCTATTACTAGCGTGGTCCTCTGATGCAAAGCTTCCCAACTGTTATGCCTAGTGAGTATAGCTGTTGATATTGGCCTGGGACACCTGAGTAGTTACTTCAAGGCAGCCCCAAAGAGTGCTGCAGGTTTGCCCCCAAAGTATTGAACAATTATTTCCTATGCGTAAAATGCTTCTATGAAAAAGGCTGGGGCTGGGCAGGGTGGCTCATGCCTGTAATCCCAGCCCAGAAGTTGGAGATCAACCTGGGCAACACACTGAGACCTCTTCTCTACCAAAAAAAAAAAAAAAAAATAGCCGGGGTGGTGGCCTGTGCCTGTAGTCTCATGAGGCTGAGGTGGGAGGATCACTTGAGCCTGGGAGATAGAGGCTGCGCTGAGCTGTGATAGTGCCACTGCTCTCCAGCCTGGGCAACAGTGAGACCCTGTCTCCAAAAAAAGAAAAAAAAAAAAAAAGAAGAAGAAAAAGGTTGGAAAATATTGTAGTCTAACTAGCATAACCAGTTTTGAGTTCTGGAAAAAATTAAATTGGTAATAATACCATTTTTAAAGCATTTACCTTGTGCTCTATGTATGCTATAAAGTCTTACGTTTTGGTTTTACAAAACTCTACAAGGCAGGTTTTTATTCCTCTTACAGAAGAAGAAACCAAGACCCAGAGCTAAGTACAGAGATCAGTAAATAATCAATTAAAACTGGAATTCATGTCTCCCTAGTTTAAAGCTACCTCTATCCCAAGAAAAATCCCAAATCAATTATCGTCTCACATACAGAATGAATTGGTTCACACTGTTAACAATTTAGGTGGAGGAATCAGCCTTATTTAAAACATTAAAAAAAAAAAAAATCAATGAATTTGATACACAGCCTACCATACATAATCCAAACTCCTTAACCTGGCATTTAAATTTTTTAAATGATTTGTCTCTCAGGTACTTTCCCATTCCTCTATATTTGCACTTTCTATCCTTTACATTTTCCCATGCCATTCCTAACTATCCTCTTCCTAAACCCATTTTCCAACCATAAAGTTCTTTTTGATCGTTCCATAAATCTGCTCCTTTTGTCTGGGATGATCTCTTTTACCCACTTTTCTACTTGCCAGTACACTCTGAATACTGATTTGAATGACCTATAGCAGTCTGAACCATGGATAAGTTCAGATAAGACTGGTCTGAAATTCTTCCCCACTGTCGAGTCAAATGAAACTTCCCCATGATCAAATCCAACCAGAATCGGACCGGCCTTGTAGAGCTCGGCTAATAGCACTTAAGAACTTTCAATGTCTGCCAGTACAGGAGAAAACTGATCTGTACTCGTGCTCAGGAACACGCCACACACTTCAACCGTTGTCCCAAACTGCCTTCCCTTCCGGCCTCCTCACTTTAAATAATAAGACCATCCAATTAATGGAGGACTCCTTTCGCGTAACTCTCGCTACAGCGGTAAGCGGTGAGAGACCCGGCTACAAGGAGGTAAACACTGAGCGAGGAGAGAGAACCTCAATTCTCACAGTGCCCCAACTCCGCTCCCACGCCCCGACGCTGCGCACGTCACGTCGCGTCACATCCACTGCACGACCCACAGTGCGGCCCGGCCCCGCCCCACGCCGCGCTACGGCCCGCCGGGCCCCGCAGGGAGTTCGAAGGCTCCGAGGCTGCTCCCATACGCACTGGTGGAAGGAGAGGCCGCGCTCCCGGCTGAGCACGGTGTCACGGGTGCTGCAGCCCACTGCGGAGCAACTTCGGGTCATCTTCTTGTTACGTGGGGCCCCACCTTCGGGGTTCCCGCGACAGCATGAATCACGACCACTTTAGCTCCGCCCGTTGACTGCGGCTACGACCTTTATTTGTCAGGAAAGGCGGGCTTTAGAGGCGCGGGACTTCCACACTTCCTCTCCGAAGGCCCTGCGCCGGTACCGTAGCCAATCACAGGCCACGTTGTGTCGCAGCAGCCAATCGGAAGGGCCTGAGCCTGAAGACGTGCACTTGACCGCTCCTCCTTCCGCGTTGGAGGCCCAATAGTGGGTTTTGCTGCCACCGGTTCATTTTCCTTCTGTTTTCACCCATTCTGGCACAATCCGCCGCCATCGTCGTTCTTTGTGAGACCGAGCCTGAAAATGCGAAGCAGAGAGGCAGGACCAAAATTGAGGCGAATCCGGGAACCTGCCAATGGGTCTCTGGATGCGTTCTCTGAAACTGGAGGATATCGGGAAGAAAGGGTATGGAAAAGAGATAAAACACGGTGCCCTAGGTATGTTAAAGACAGAGTCGGGCCCAAAATACATGATTTACTGAGATGCGTGTCGTGTTCTTGCGCTTTATCTTGTAGCTCTCCGATGCGGAGATAATGCGGAAACTCTTGGCATGGTTGGCAGTAGGTACCTGATACGGGAGGAGCGGGAGTCAAATAGGATACGCCCACTTTTAATTCGAGGAACTCTTCTGAAACACTGCCACAATGAAGGACATAAGGTAAGGTTCTTGGGGCTCGTCAGTAGTAATAGGGGACAAGGGGCAATTAAGTGGTTTTGGTTGGGAATGAGGCGTTATGGATAGCTTTCAGGAGAAAAAGCTTAGAACAATGTCTTAGTTATAAGCCCTTGTGTTTGAGGAAGAGATTTCAATTTGCTTAGAAGGAAACAGGCAGTGTGTTTTTGTCTCTGAGGAGATCCTTAGCATACAGAAAACAGAAGGGTTTGCAACTTTTCCGTTTCTTTGTATAGCACACAAAAATAATTCCAAATATCCAGGCCTAACAAGATTGCTTCTTTTTCCCCTTTGTGTTTACTTTGTCCTAATTACAGCCGAAAAGACACATATTAAGGTGTTTATTCACACCAGTTTTCCACTAAAATATGTTTATGTCTTCTTTGGATGGAATTAATAGCTTTTGGTTATGGTTCCTTAAAAGTCACATGGCCTAAGGATAGTCAAGGAACTGTGGAAAAATTGGTCCCTGGGGGATGAGCAGGGAAAATACTTTTTGGCTGTAAGATGTGTGTAGAGAGTAGGAACTGGATTTAAATACTGTAAGTTGGTTGGGCTGTTAGAGCCTTTTCCTACTCAACCAATTAAGACCTGAATGAGGCTGAATAAAAATACATTGTTTTTAGCTGTCTTTAAGGAAAAAATCAGTTGCCTTGTATTTTTGTGACAGTTTTATTCAGATATAATTTTCATACCATACAACTAACTGGTTTAAACTGTACAATTCAGTGGGTTTTAGGATATGCACAGAATTGTGCAATAGTCACAATCAATCTTAGAACATTTTCATCACTCCAAAAAGAAACCTCATTTTTTTTTTTTTTTTTTTTTGAGACGGAGTTTCGCTCTGTCGCCCAGGCTGGAGTGCAGTGGCGCGATCTTGGCTCACTGCAAGCTTCGCCTCCCAGGTTCACGCCATTCTCCTGCCTCAGCCTCCCAAGTAGCTGGGACAACCGGCGCCCGCGACCACACCCGGCTAATTTTTTGTGTTCTTAGTAGAGACGGTTTTCACCGTGTTAGCCAGGATGGTCTCGATCTCCTGACTTCGTGATCCACCTGCCTCGGCCTCCCAAAGTGCTGGGATTACAGATGTGAGCCACCGCGCCTGTCCGAAACCTCATTCTTATTAGCAGTACCTCCAAATATTCCCCCACCCCACTTCAGCAACCACTAATTTACTTTCTGTGTGCCCATGCCTGCTCTGTACACTTCATGTAAATGGAATTATGAACTAATATATGGTCCTTGTGATTGGCTTCTTTCACTTGGAATGTTTTCAGAGTTCATCCATCTTACAGCACGTATCAGTACTTTATTTTTTATTGCTGAATCATATTCCATTTTATGGATGTAGCAGATTTTGTTTATCTGTTCATCAGTTGGAGGGCATTTGGGTTTTTCCTTTTTTTTTTTTTTTTTTTTTTTTTTTTACTGTTAGGAACATTTGTGTACAAGTTTTTCTGTGGACAAATGTTTTCATTTTCCTGATTACACACCTAAGAGTGAAACTGCTGAGTCATAAGGTAACTAACTGTGTTTAACTTCTTGAGGAAGTACCAGATTATTTTCCCTAGTGGCTGCAACATTTTACATTCCCACCAGCAGTGGATGAGGCTGTCAGTTTCTCCACATTTTTGTGGTGTGAAGTGACTGTCTCATCGTGGTGTTTACCTTTTCTTAAGGATTCAAAATTTGTTTGCAGATACAGGCCTTCATTTGCCATTTTCTTAAGGTAGAGTTGAAAGTACTGCTGCCAGTTCATCATCTGAAATGAGGGCTGTTTTCTTTCCTGTTTAATTGGATTGTAACTATTTGCCTTTCCTAAAGTTGAAACAGTGTGCTTCCACGTTATTCTGACAACATTCCTTTATTATATTCAAATCAGTTTCTGAAAACTGCTTTTATTAGAACAGATTTACTTAAATGAAGGCAATAGCTGCAAGGGGTTACTGCTGTAGATACTTACTTCTGGATAGGAAATAAGTAATCCTATCTTTACATTTGTTTATAACTTATATATGCTTTTTTTTGTTGTTGTGATTGTTTATTTTATTGTTGACATTGAAGTTCTCAATTTGATCCTTTGGTTATATCGTTGCTTCTTCTAGTAACTTCATATCCAGTGATTAAACTTTTTCACTGCTGTTCACATAATGAACTGTTGTGATTATTGAATACTTAAATGAGGATATGTAAGCTGTATTAAAGATCGTGTTATTTGCAAAGGCATTGACTATTGCACAAAAAATTTTAAAAGAAAATATCTCTTTTCAGGAGTCATGCTCAGAGATGTCAAGAAAAGATACATGGGTCTTGGAAGATAATTACTCAAAATATGCAGGTAGTATATTTTTCTATTCTAAATGTGTTAAGTATTCCTGGAACTATAGCAGTGAGTTGGAAATGGAGGATTGTCCAAGTAAAAAACATTTATAAAGGATTTGATGAAATCTAATTATTTTATGGTATAGAATCTTATTAATTGTCCACTTGGAAAGAATAATAACAAATTATTTATTGGCCCATTACTATGGGCCACACATTATGCTGAGCTTTTTATTATTTTATTTTATTTTTTTGAGATGGGGTCTCACTCTGTCACCCAGGCTGGAGTGCAGTGGCACAATCTCAGCTCACTGCAACCTCTGTCTTCCAGGCTCAAGCAATCTTCCCACCTCAGCCTCCTAAGTAGCTGGGACCATAGGCATGTACCACTACACCTGGCTAATTTTTTTTTGTATTTTTGGTAGAGACAGGGTTTTGCTGTGTTGCCCAGGTTGCTAAGCTTTTTATATAGAGTATATAGAAAGAGTTGGTTTTCTTAAACACTGTTTATTTCTTATAATAGCTATGAAAGCAGATACAGACTTCTTGCTTTCTAGGGTTGGTATCTTGCTTGTTGAGCACCTATCCCTTTTGTCTTGCCAAATTTTTCATTGTTTGAGTTCTGTCTTTTGTTTCAGAAAGCCATGGAGTTTTGAAATTATTGTTAAATCATTATTTGTTACATAATTATTTCTACTTCTAGAATCTCATGCTAACTTGGAAGTGTCTTCTCAGCATCAAGCCTGATATAGAGGGGCAGCTACACCCTAATGTACTCCAAAACTAGTTATGCTTTGTTTTATACGTAATGCTTCTATTATTAGACAAGTGGTTTCCAACTATTAGAAGCAGTGCTAAGACTTAAAGGAAAAGGGGGAGTGTTTTTTCTTCTAACAGAACTTTTGAGCAGTGATGAAAGGAAAACAAGAAGACTCAAAAGATTATAAATCTCGGCATGAATTAGTATTCTGCCAATTAGAAACATTCTGATTGCCTGACAAGATCTATTGCTGATGAGGAGTAGAAGCCTGTGGGAGGTGGGGGTGGAAGCAGCAGAAGGGAAAACAAGCAAGTAGTAAAATGTATTCATCATAGTGGATAAAAATCCACTTTGGGGGAAAAGGTCAAACTCCTTTAACGGTGCTGTACATCTGTACCTTTACTCTATCCTATGGCAAATATTTGTATAACTGCACAGAAGAAATTGGACAATATTCGTTGAAATATTCATAGAAAGTTCAACTTTCCAAGTTAGTACCACCCCAAGGAAAATTATATGAATAGGGATACTTAATTTCTAGCCATACTCTAGTTCTAATCAGCTTCTCTAAGTAGCTGGAACTGCAGGCGTGTGCCACCACACCTGGCTAATTTTTTGTACTTTTGGTAGAGAAGGGGTTTTGCCATGTTGCCCAGGCTGGTAAGATTTTTATATATAGTATAAAGAGTTGGTTTTCTTGGCCAGGCATGGTGGCTCACACCTGTAATCCCAGTACTTTGGGAGGCTAAGGCAGGTGGATCACCTGAGCTCAGGAGTTCAAGACCAGCCTGGCCAACATGGCGAAACACCATCTCTACTAAAAATACAAAAATTAGCCAGGCGTGGTGGCATGTACCTGTAACCCCAGCTACTTGGGAGGCCAAGGCAGGAGAATCACTTGAACCCAGGAGGTGCAAGTTGCAGTGGGCCAAGATTTGCCACTGCACTCCAGCCTGGGTAACAGAGCAAGACTCCATCTCAAAAAAGAAAGAGTTGGTTTTCTTAAACAATATTTATTTCTCTTAATAACGCAATGAAAGTAGATACAGACTTCTTGCTTTTTAGGGTTGGTATCTCACTTGTTGAACACCTACCCTTTTGTCAGATGCATAGCAGGTTAACAAAGTCGATAAAGTGATATGCTTGACATTGTTCTGAGTTTTTTTTCCCAATTATAGTAAAATTGGAGGTCTTAACTGTTCTACATTAGATAAATACACGCATTTGTTTTAAAGAGCTAAGCAATGAGAATCTTATGAGTAGAGCTGAAGTTCAAGAAATAAATGTCCAATGATTAAACTTTTTCCACTGCTGTTCACATCATGATTTGTTGTGATTAATGTATGTGGATGAGGACATAATAGAAAAAGAAAATGGTGAGGCTTGTATATATTGTGTTTCTGCACAATGAGTTCCTTTGAATGTTTTTCGTTTTAGGAATAAAATTGAAGGGCGTTTTTCTTAGAGAACATCATTTGTCATATTTATTTGATCAAGAAGTTGAAGATTTATGTAATAAGGTATGGGACGTACACATTTATTTTGATAAAAGAACACAAAAAAGGTCAGGTATGAGTAGAAAATTCACATTTATTTGAGTCTAATGTGGATACTGTACTCTGAATTAAAGTTTTCTTTTTGTTACTCTTCCAGCTTTTAAAGATAATAAGTATTATTTCAAAATAGTATTTTTTAAATTAATAGATTCAATTCAGGAAAGGCATTGGAGGGGGTGGAGCTTTTGACAGTCTCACTCTGTTGCCCAGGCTGGAGTGCAGTGGCGCAATCTCTGCTCACTGCAATCTCTGCCTCCTGGGTTTAAACAGTTATTGTGGCTCAGCTTTCGAAGTGGCTGGGATTAGAGGCGCATGCCACCATGCCCAGCTAATTTTTTTTATTAAATAGAGACCAGGTTTTGCCATGTTGGCCAGACTGGTCTCAAACTTCCAGCCTCAAGTGATCCGCCTACCTTGGCCTCCCAGAGTGCTGGGATTATAGTCATGAGCCACTGCACCTGGCTGTTGGTTATCTTTTCTTAGAAATAATGATGTAATCTTTTCAGCACCTGAATTCTTAAAGATCTAGGGTTTACAAATGACTCTTAGATATGCCAAGGATGACTATCCTATAACTTAAGGAAGTCAGGAACAGTAGAAAAGAAGGTGATAGGAAACTGGGAATCTTAAAACTAGTTCTGTCATTAATTAGGCTTGTTATTGTGGGTATTTCTCAAATTTAAGAAATATGAGGGGTCTTGAAAAAGTTCATGGAAAATGCATATCATGAAAAAACTGCATGGATTTCAAAATTTTTGGACCAAAATAAACTCCTACTAACTTGTTATAACATGTTTGAACAGGATCTAGTTTGAAGCACTAAGAAGAATAAGACATCAGTTTGAAAAGAGGCTGTATCAGAGCAACACAAATTCTGCTAAAATTGAAGGAAGAACAAACATCAAATATATGTTGACACTTGGGTGGAAGAATGGTGAGCTAATTGATGCTTTGTGAAGTTTATGGGGCCAATGCTCCAAAGAAATCAGTTTACAAATGGATAACTCGTTTTAAGAAGGGATAAGGTAATGTTGAAGAAGAAGCCCACAGTGGCAGATCATCCACATCAGTTTGTGAGAAATTAGTTCATGGCATAATTGAAGAAAACCAACAATTAACAGCAGAGACGACAGCCAACACCATAGACATCTCAGTTGGTTCACCTTACACAATTTTGACTGGAAAAGTTCAGCAAACTTTATACCTGATAGATACCAAAACCATTGCACCCAGATCAGCTACAGACAAGAACAGAACTCTCAATGGAAATTTTAAGTGGGATCAGGATCGTGAAGCCTTTCATTGAAAAATTGTAACAGGAGATGAAACATGGTTTTACCAGCGCAATCCTGAAGACAAAACACAAAGCAATGTTACCAAGATAAGTAGTAGTTCAGTCAAAGCATAAGTGGACTGGTTGAGAACAAAGGTCATGGCAACAGCTTTTGAATGCTCAAGGCATTTTGCTTGTTGACTTTCTGTAGGGCCAAAGAATGGTAACATGTGCTTATAGAAACTTAGCCAAAGCTTTAGCAGAAAAATGCCTGAGAAAGATCAGAGAGTTCTTCACCACAACAATGTTCCTACTCATCCCTCTCATCAAACAAGGGCAATTTTGCAAGAGTTTTGATGGGAAATCACTAGGCATCCACCCTACAGTCCTGGTTTGGCTCCTTCTGACTTTTTGTTTCCTAATCTTAAACATTTTTTTAAGGGCAGTACATTTTTCTAAAGTTAATGTAAAAAAACTGCATTGATGTGGGTAAATTCCCAGAACTCTCAGTTCTTTAGGGATGGACTAAATTTTATAGCTGGTATCATCACTTACAAAAGTGTCTCGAACCCTATAGAGCTAATGTTCAGAAATATCGTTTATATTTTTATCTTTTAATTCCATTTTTCTACAAACTTTTTGAAGTCTCCTTGAATATGTACCCTTTATAAAGGGGAAAAATTCTGTGACTAATGTTGACTTAATGCTGACTTAATTTTCTATTTTGTAAATATATACAAACATAAAAGTTGATACAAATTTTGTTCATAGCCCTTAACAAACAAATTTGTGAAATAAATGCATTCAGAAACAAACTAAAACATTAATGAAATGGATGCTACTGTTTTACTGAGGTGTAAACATAGTACTGGCTGCTATGGAAAAAGTTACATAAACAGTCATGTGCCTTGTGATGATTGTTTTGTCTACAACTTCGCTCTTTGCAGACCGCAAGACTATTGAAATGAGGGGAAGGGATCTGAATTCCCGCAAGAATGTCAAGTGGGCATCGAGGCTTATGCCTATAATCCTTGCACTTTGGGTGGCTAAAGCAGAAGGATCCTTTGAGGCCAGGAGTTCCAGACCAGTATGGGTGACAAAATGAGTCCCTGTCTCTACAAAAAATAAAATAATTAATCAAGCATGGCCATGTGCCTATAGTCCTAGCTACTTGGGAGGCTGAGGGTGGGAGGATCACTTGCACCCTGGATGTTGAAGCTGCAGTGAGCTGTGATCATTGCCACCACACTCCAGCCTGGGTGACACAGCAAAAACCTGTCTCTAAAAAAAATGAGAATATCTTTGTGCTATGAAATCCTAATTTGAAGAATTCGTCATTAAATTCTCTCCAAACATTCTTCTAGTGAGCAATTCAGTTTTTATTTGATTCAGGATTAGGCTTGGATAGTAGTTAACGAAATTGGATTACAACTGTTTTGTGAACTAGAGTTTTTTTTTAGATACAGGCAGTCCTTGCTTTGCAAAGTTCCAATATGCATAAATGCCAGTTACCACAATTAAGTTAAATAAAACCAGTCCAACAATGTGGTTAATAATTCCATTACCACAGTACTGAGAAAACTTGCATAAATTTTGCTGCTAGCTCTTTAGTCCACAAATCGTGCCCCCCACCTCCGCCAAAAAAAGGTGTGCATCATGATCAGTGGCCAGTTAGGTTCTTTCAAAGTTTGTTGGTGATTTGTTACTGATCATCAGTTCATGCACAGATAGCAAAGCACAAAGTGCATAGTAGTGTTGCCTCCGTGACCCCAGAGATTAAACTTGTGACCATTTACAGAAATGGATCATCAAAATAGGTAATTGGTCAACAAGGGACAGGGCAGCAAAGAAAAGTGATAGTTGGATATGGAAGTGAAGTTGGATATGATTAGAAGATTTGAAAGTGGTGACAGCAAAGCAAAGATAGGTTGAGACCCAGACCTGCATAAAGCTGTAACACAGGCCTATTAAAAAAGTATGATAAATGTAAAAAGGTAAACTTGCTTCAACGTCTTTCAGTTTTAATTGCACTAGGAACAGAAAGCTGCTTGCGGTTTGGAGCATTTACTTGTTTGAAGACTAATCAAAAATCCCAATCAGTTTGACTAGCATTCAGGCCAAAGTGATAACCTTAGTTACTGCGTTGAAAGAAAATGGTAATTAGAAGACTGAAAGAAAATATATTACTACCAGTTAAAGCTGGGTTCATTATTTCAGAAGTTGGCGTGAATTAATGTTAAGCTATCTTTGAAGCTGCAAGCTTCAGATGGA